CAGGCCAGGCCACGTGGCGGCCAGGCGCGCCGGGCCCCGGGCCCCAGCTGCGGCTCGAAGTGCAGGCAGCAGTCTGGGCTGAGGGAGAAACTGTTGCCTGGCCTTCAGACTTCCCGCTGCGCCCCAGAGCCCCAGGCCCGGAACCTCGGAGGGGAGCAAGGGCCGAGAGCGGTCACGTCCCGAAGTGGGACTGACGGAGCCATCGCAGCTAACAAGGTCGCCAGTGACCTCGCGGCTATTTTAGACGCGCCTTTCCGGCAGTAAGTGGGGCAGGCGAGCGCGGCCTCGCCGGACGTCCGGCTGTCTGCAGATGCCGGGCCGTTTCCAGGAGGGCTGCTCGGCGCCCCCCGGGCACCCCAGCGGGGCTGCGTCCGGCGGGGCCCAGCAGGCGGAACGGTGAGGCTGCAGTGTGGAGACAGGTCCCGCGTCTCCGCTTCAGGCAGGACCGCGGGGTCTGCAGTGCTCACGCCTCGGCGGGACTTGGGGAGCTCCAGAAGCACGCGGGCTGACGCTAAGCTGCACCCCATTTCTATTTGAGGACTCGGCCTCCCTGGGCTGGCCAGGCCCGCCGCGCACAGGCGTTGTGCAGACGGGACCCGGCTTTGGGCTTAGGGCTTGCAGGGAGGGGCCGCGTGAGCACGGAGTGACGGCACCCTGCGCCTGGCAGGGCTGCGGGGGCCGGGCCCGGTCTTACCTCATCTGTGATCTGGCCGCCGAAGGTCACCCACGTTCCTGCAGGGAGACACGCAGGCGGAAGTCAGGGGACCGCCCGGGGCCGGCCCAGCCCCCGACCGCGGCCTCAGGCTGCAGGTGGCCACACCTGCTCTGCGCGGCGTGTCCTCGGCAGGTGTGGACGGGCGTCCCTCCCGGGCCACCAACCACGGAGGCAGCACGTGCCCGTCTGCCTGGACGGGGGGCTGCCTGCAGGCTGGGGGCTCTTTGGGCCCCAGCTGATGGAGGCACATGAGCAGCGCACGGGGCAAGCACGTGCCGGCCGCCGGTGCCCGCAGCGTGAAGGGCGGTACAAGCAGTAAGGAGCAGTCAGTCGCCCGCCCGTCTCGAGGCCACGGCCACGGCCACGCAAGGGCCCGGGCGTCGTCCTGTATGTGTTGCCCACTGGGCTTCTCCGACTCCGGGTCTCGGCACTGGGCGGGAGCCGCGTGGGCGGGGCCCGGTCTGGGCTCCCCTCCCCTGCCAAGGCTGTCCGCCCCTCCCTCACCCGGGTGCTGCGGCAGCCCTCCCGCCGCCCCGGGGTGCCCACACTCACCGAGGCCCAGGCAGGAGACCCGCAGGCCGGACTTGCCCAGGTTCCTGGAAAACAAAGGCTGAGTGAGTCCTCTGAGGCCGGGCAGGGCCCTAGCGGCTCGTTAAACGCTGCCGCGCACGGGCCCGGGGAAGGACGGGGTGCGGCGTGGACGAGCAGGACCCCGGGGTCACGTCTCGGGGCTGGGGCCTGCCCCAGGAAGTCCACCCCCGGCGCTGGCTCCGGGGGTTGGGGGTGCTCAGCCCGGCTGAGCTGGGAGAGACCCAGACTCCCCTGCAGGGGGCCGCTGTGCTGTTCTGAGGCTGGTGGCCTGTGCCGTCACCCAGCGCCAGCTCCTCTTTGGGGGACGCTTGCTGGGGCCAGAGGCCAGGGACCTGGGTTGGCTTGTCCGCCGCAGGCAGCGTGGCTGTGGGAAGAGCCCTCGCCCCAGGGACGTCTGTAGCTGGGGCCCAGGGCCGACGCACGAGGC